TCTGATCGTTGAAAACTCATGTGGTGTTTGCCAGGCGTCTTCTGTGTCTCCCCCCGACCCCCACCCCCCACCCCTATCCTTGCTGGATCGCTGTGAGGCTAATGGCGTATAAAACACAGGCTGTGTCCTCATAGATGTCCCTGGTCTCTGAGGCAACCAGGAAGGGAAACTGCACTGGTTAATTAAGCAGCTATTTAGCAGGTTCTATGTGCCAGAGTTTAAGCCCCACTGGCACTCACCGGGAGCAGGATTATTTATGCCCATTTTACAGGTGAGCAAACCGAGGCTAAGAGGTTAGATAACTTGCGGGGAATCACAGTCTAATTCATGATGACAGCCAGGTCTGACCCTCCAGTCCTCTCCTAGCTCCTGGCCGCCTGCTGCTTATCTGATGTTGGTTTTCTCTGAATTCCTTCTGGGAGGGCAGAGCGAAAGGAAGACGTGGTGATAGGAACCCGTCGGGCAGCTGGCGGGTGACGTGGGCCCCGGTCTTGGCACCGAGTGGGTTTTAGCGGAAGAAGCCCGGGCCGACTAACTCCCTGTCTAGAGGGCCTTGCGCCTGCGCTTCCTAGAGGGACCGCACCATCCACCCTCCTGCCCGTTGGAGCGGGAGGCCCGGGAGGGGACATCTGGGCTCCTACCCACGGCACCCCATGTGGCCTGGCCTTGCCACCCGGTCTGCTGAACGATGACCTTGGCCCTTTCAGCCCGACATTCTGGGCTGGGACTTTCCAGGAGGCGGCAGAGGGGGCGGGCACTGGCATCCAGCGCTCGGCCTCAAGCCCAGGGGAGAACCTGCTGAGCCAAGCAGGGCCTTGAGCGGCGGGGGGTGACCCCTGGTATGGGCGGTGGGGGGGCATCAGCGGAGCAGCCCCAACCAGGTACCCCCCCACTGCCCCTCCCTCCCAGCGAAGGAGGTCGGCATTGCCTACAAGGCAGTGTCCACGCGGGACCTGCTCCTTCCTGTGGGCCTGCTGGTCTTGGGGTTGGTGCATTTGAACCCACAGCGAAACTTCTGGAGGGAGAGCGAGACGAAGCAGTAAGAGTGTGACACAGCATAGCGGCCTCTCGTCCCGGCCACCCACCTGTGCTGACCCATCTCAGGATGTGCCTCCAACCCCTGGACTTCAGCCTCGTCCTCAGAAACCTGCAGCTGGTGGTGTGTGTGTGAGAGTGTGAGTGTGTGAGTGAGAGAATGTGAGTGTGTGAGAGTGTGAGTGTGTGTGTGTGAGAATGTGTGTGAGTGTGTGTGTGAGAGTGTGTGTGAGTGTGTGTGTATGTGTGTGAGTGAGTGTGAGAATGTGAGTGTGTGAGTGTGTGAGAGTGTGAGTGTGTGAGAGTGTGAGTGAGTGTGTGTGTGTGTGAGTGTGAGAGAGTGTGAGTGGGTGAGTGGGTGTGTGGGCACACGAGATAGAATAAGAGTTGGATCTACCAGATAATCTCTGCTTTCATACAGGAACCGCCCTAGGCCAGTGGTTCCTAACCAGGGCGGTTTTGCCCCCAGAGGGCATTTGGCAAAGTGCACAGATGTTTTCGGTTCTCACCGGAGGTGGGGAGGGTGGGTGTGGGCTATTGGCATCTGGGGGCGCCAGCCTCCACCACCAAGGATGACCCACCCAGGCCCAGGGTGGGCAGGTCGGGTGGGGAACTGTGCCCTGGAGATACGGCGGTCACGGAGGCCACATCCGCCCCAACCTGCAGGACAGCGCGGCCTCGTGGGGCAGGCCCGTCAGGACTGGCCAGATGAGTGGGCGGCGCTGGGGGGACCCCGGGGCGTACCTGCCCCGTGAGATGGGGGCTCCGCGGGCTAGGACCGGGCCTGCTGGTTTGTGGCCATGCCCCCACTTGTCACATGGTAGGGCCCCGTCCACAAGGCTGTTATGGGTGCTTCGCTCCGTGCTGGGCACATGAGGGCCTGGCCCAGGAAGCCACGTCCGGATGAGTCACGGTTTGGAACTGAGCTTTCTGAACCCCAGGGGTCTTTGAGGTCAGGTCTTGCCTCATGGGGTGGGGACAGGTGGGAGGGAGGGTGAACCCGGGGCTGCTGGGGTGGGGGGTGGGGTCAAGCTTTTTTCCCTGGCTTCATCCAAAGCATGTCTGCTTCCCCCACTTTTTTCCCCCTTTTGTGGGGGAAGGGTGTATGTAAATCTGTTTTTTTATATTGAACTTCCTTATAAGATTTGCTTTAGACAAACAGCCTCAGAAATACACGTTTGCAGAGTTCAAGGCAACAGAGATAGGGCAATTGTTGGCCTTCAGCCGGCCCAGGTTGGCAGGATGGGGCAGCCAGCTGTCTCCCTGCCCATTGCCCTGGAGTGGGCAGCCTCGGGCATCGGGCAGTGACCTAGATGGAGGGCCAGGCCCTGCCCTCCCTGCCGGGGCATTTGCACTCATTAAAGGCAGGCTGTCCCAGGCCTGCCGCGCCCCCACCCCCAGGGACAAAGGGTGCAGAGGCTGCCTCTGCTGTGCTCGTCTCCCTGCAGACTCGGGGGCCTGGGGCGCTTCCCGGTGTAACCAGGGTGTCAGCTCCGCTGTAGGGGCCAGAGGACTCGGCTCCGGGACTGTGCTGTGCCCCGTCGGATGATTAGCTGATCGTCAGCATTGTGGTCTCCACCCACTGGACGCCAGTAGCATCTCCCAGTCATGACACAAGTGTCTCCAGCCCGGCTAGCATGGCTCAATGGTGAGCGGTGACCTATGAACCAGGAGGTCACGGTTCGATTCCCAATCAGGGTACGTGCCTGGGTTGTGGGCTCGATCCCCAGTGTGGAGTGTGCAGGAGGCAGCCAATGAGTGATTCTCTCTCATCATTGTTGTTCTATCTCTCCCTCTCTGAAATCAATAAAAATATATTTTTTTATAAATATCTCCAGCACAAGGCTGGGCTCCCTGAGCCCCTTCCGACTCCATACTCAGCAATTCTCAAATATTTAAGGGAGACTGGCCAGTTTTCAACCTCTGAGTTTAGCCCTAGCTGGTTTGGCTCAGTGGATAGAGCATCAGCCTGCGGACTGAAGGGTCCTGGGTCTGATTCCTGTCGGGGTACATGCCTGGGTTGCAGCTCTATCCCCAGTAGGCGGCATGCAGGAGGCAGCTGATAATCAACCAAAATATATATTTTAAAAAATAGTGAATTTAAACACAGGCCTTGCTAGTAAGCTGCATAAATCCTGTTCATCTATTCAGCAAGTGAGTGGTAGCCCCACTTTGCCCCTGGTGGAATGGCAGGAGCCACAGGTGGGCCAGGTAGCGATACAATTAGGCTGCCCTCCTCAGAGCCCACGGGGATGGGGGTGGGGGCTGAAGATGGCCTGGGGGTTAGGGGGGCTGAAGAAGGGCTGCCTGAGCCCGGCCAGGGGACAGTGGCAGACCCCCCTCTCACCCTGGTCCTGTCACTCTCTGCTGGGGGGTGGCACTGCCTGGGCTTCTGGAAGGCTCTCTAGGCTGTGTAGGCGGCGTGGCCATGGGGCCAGAGTCCCGGGACCATGAACACGCTGAGTTAGCGAGGCTGTCCGACCTCGGCTTTCATGCCTCCGGCCTCCGGGCTGGCCGCTGCCCAGGAATGCTGGCAGATATAAAACTGACTTTGTTTTCAGAATGTTCTGGAACCTGAACTCCAAAGGCTGCATTCTTGTGGGGCTGCTTATCGACTGGGGAATTATATGGGGCCCAGACTGGAGCGTTGCAGCGGATCTGCCCCCAGAATGCCATGTGTCAGCGCCGGGGCGGGAGGAGGCGGCCCGGGCTGTGCTGCCGGCTGATCTCTGAGAGGCCTCGCCAGGAGGGTCCTGGGGGTTCCAGGAGCCAGGCCTCGGACCAGCCCACCTGGTGGGATTTTAGAGGCTGCGCTCTCTCCGTCCGTGGGGTCCTGGGGAGCTGGGGGCCTGGGTTTCTGCTCTGGAGCATGACAATGGAGGGCCTCGCCGGCCTGGTCTTCAGCAGGTTGCCTGGTCCGTCCGGGATGCAGGAGGCCGGGTCTGTGAGCGGGGATCTGGACGCCTGTCCCTGCCACCGGCTGTGGCGCTCACCTCACTCTGGGACTGTGTGCCTCGCCCAGTGTTGGTGGGGGCTTCACTTGCCTTTATCTGAGAATAAATGTTTATATCTCCAGATCCCAGACCAAGCTTCGGGAGCGTGCTCAGTACATGCCCCGCCCAAGCCTGGCTCCTGGGGAGTGGGTGCGCCACAGCCAGTGGGGCCTCCTCTGGCCCCCAACCCCAGCTGCTTTGGCTCCTTTTGTTTGAAAATCCCACCTCCAGCCTGGCAGGCCCTGGGTTTGAGGCTGCCCCTGCTGGGGACACTGGGAGGGTGAAGGAGGAGGAAGTGTGTGCCATGCCTGCACATGGCAGGCCTCCTGTGACCTCCTGTCCCCTGTGGCTGTCAACCTGGGGATGCAGTTCTCCTTCTCAAATGCAGCGAGAAATGTCCTGGGTGGTGGGGGGTCTAGACTGGTTTTGAGAATCGATCTGTGTTTCATTAGCAACGTGGTTGCTTCCATGAGCCTCAGTTCCTGTCTCAGGGGCAAGGCTGGGAGGGTGATGTGGGTATGAGGGCCCTTGTGGCCTATAGGAGGGGCTTTGTGACCTGTAGGAGGGGCCTCATGACCTGTAGGAGGGGCTTTGTGACCTGTAGGAGGGCCCTTGTGACCTATAGGAGGGGCTTTGTGACCTGTAGGAGGGGCCTTATAGCCTGTAGGAGGGGCCTCATGGCCTATAGGAGGGGTCTGGTGACCTGCAGGAGGGGCCTTATGGCCTATAGGAGGGGTCTGGTGACCTGCAGGAGGGGCCTTATGGCCTATAGGAGGGGTCTGATGACCTGTAGGAGGGGCCTTATGGCCTGTAGGAGGGGCCTGGTGACCTGTAGGAGGGGCCTGGTGACAGGTGCAGAAGGTAGAAGCTGCGGGGCAGAGTGAGGGCTTGTTTTCGAGCCTCAGATCTGCTTCCTTCAGGAACCATCTCTCAGGAGGAAGTGCTAACCTCCTGGCCTTTGTCCCCTCCCAGGCAGGTGACAGCAGGGACATGTCTCGGGAACTGCAGGACGTGGACCTGGCCGAGGTGAAGCCTTTGGTGGAGAAAGGGGAGGTGAGTGGAGATGCTCCTGGTCCCCCCATCACATGCACCGTCATACAAGGGCACACGTGTGTGCACAACATGAACACATACACACACGTGTCCACTACTTCCTTGTTTCCACGGGTGGTCTTGTCCAGGTGTGCAGAGGCACAAAGTTACCTGTTCCAGGCCCAGTGTGGCCACTACGTGTTCTGGCATCGTGGGCCGGGCCCCTGACCACAATCTGGGCTTCTCTGCCCACACCTCCCTGATCCCATATGCAAAGAAGGGCATTGAAGTAGAGCTCCTGTAGGCGCCACCCCCCTCTGACATCTGTGGTTCTGGAACATGTGACCGGAAGCCCACTGCCCACAGGCTTTGTCTACCCCCTCGTTTCGAGGTGAAGGTCACACACATCCCCCGGGCCCGCCTGCCTGGCCTCAGATCCTGGCCGTGACACTCGGCAGCTCTGTCCACCGCTGGCAAACGCATCAGCCTTCATGCTCCAGTTCCCCAGGTTTACACCAGTGACACGGGGACTCATGTCCTGGGGCCACAGTGAGGATGGAGTGGGCTGCTGCCGCCTGGCGCGGAGGAGATAAGCTGTGCGCCTGAGCTCCTGCTGCTACAGCTCTTATCATCCTGTCGGCCAAACCTTTCATGTCAGCCAGGCCTCCCTGGGACAGAGCTGGCCCTGCCCTGCGGCCAAGCAGGCAGGTCCCTCCTGGCCTGGCCTTTCCAACGTTGGCTTTACATTATGGAAATGCGACGAGCCTTCGCATTTGCTGTAGAAGTGACGTCGTCTTTTAAACTATGTTCCCTGCCCAGCTCTCATGGAGAGGTGACACTGCCTGTGATGATGCCTCTTTTCAAAAATGTAAAGTTCAGGCTCAAAAGTGAAGTTGCCCTAAGGCAGGGGTGGGAACCATTTTTTTTGCCAAAGGCCATTTGGATATTTATTGCATTATTCGCAGGCCATACAAGATTGTCAACTTAAAAACTAGCCCGCTGTATTTGGTCAAGCATTCAATGAACTCACCCCTAATGCCTTGGCAGGGCCAGACCCCATGATTTCGAGGGCCTTACACGGCCCGCGGGCCGGACGTTCCCCACCCCTGTTCTAAGGTCAACCAAGTGCTTCCCAAGTAGGAATCAGCATGAAGACCAGGTCCCGCGAGCCTGGGCCACCGCGTCCCTCGGGTTCTCTCGTGCTAACAGCAGGATGGGAACTGGGTTCTGGGACTGTTCCCGTTTGACAGAAGAGGAAGTTGAGTCTTGTGGAGCTTGAATGTCCTCGGTCGCGTAGTTACACTGTGTGTGGGCCTGGAGCCAAGCCAGACCAGCTGCCCATGGTGAACCGACTGCTCATCGGGCTCCTTGGTGACGCTGGGTGTGGCCGCTCTGGTTTAGCTCGGTCGCATCACAGACTTTCCCTTCTGAGTTTTATAGACACAGACACTCATCTCTGACGGGCGGGGAGCTGCCCGCGTGGGTGGCAGCTGCGTTTAGAAGCTGCCAAACCCTTGTTATGATTGTACATTCAGGGTCTGCAAGCGTGTTCTGTGAAGGGCCACATAGGAACTACCGTAGGCTCTGCGGGCCATACCATCGTGGCACCACTCAGCTTCACAATTACAGCAGGAAGGCAGCCATAGCAACATGGCAATGAACGGGCTTGCTGTGTTCCAATAAAACTTTATTTACAAAAGCAGGTGGTGGGCCTTCGTCTGCTGGCCCATGCTGTTCACCGTGCGTGCTCCACATCCGGATAGCTCTGGGGCGAGATGGGCTTTGGGCTGGAAACAGAATTGTAGGACTGAGGGAAATGTGTAGAGGTCTCTGTTCTCCGTGTCCACTCACAAGAGACTGAATTTTAATCCAGAAGACGGGCAGCCAGGGAAGAAATGTGAGGAGAGATTTAAAAGTGTAGCACATGGGTGAAGGTCAGACCAGGTCATAGGTAATTACAGTCTTGTCTCCCACAAGCTTGTGGTCAGCTAAGACCTTCAGATCTTTTTCGCATGGAGGCAGTAGTTAAAAAGGAACCCAGCTAATGTGTCTCCTTTCCTGCCGGACTGTTCTTTGAGATGAAAAGTCTCCCTTTGTGAGGAATTAGGGAGGCTCCGCAGAGGAGGGAGGGTAGATCTAGGCTCAGGGTTTGGAGAAGCAAGGAACCTTGATGAAACTGACCATCTCCCTCTTCTCTCCACAGACCATCACCGGCCTCCTGCAGGAGTTTGATGTTCAGGCAAGTAGAGGCTGTGGACGCCCTCCCCTTCCCACTATGTTCCCTCTCCCTCCTCCTTCCACTGGTGCGAAGTAGATCATGGTTCAGACACTGGGGGCGAGGAGAGACGGGGAGCTAGTTTCTCACACTTGGCTCCTTCCTGCAGAGCAGCTGGTTGGAGTTCTGGCCAGGGAAGCCTGTGGCAACAACTCCCTACGGCCCCCCTGGACACTGTCGATCTGGGCAGAGCTGTGGGGCGGCGGGGAATGGGGAGCAGTGGGTGGGTTTGGGACCCTGTGATGGGAGGGAGCAGAAGCAGGCTCGATGTTCTCAGCTCTGCCTGGGAAAGCGAACCTGGCTTCTTCGTGGCTCACTGGCTCCATCGCTGCTCAGGGCTGGCCTCAGGCGGTGGGAACAGCTGCCTCTTGAGTGTTATCCAAGAACAAACGTTCAGGACAGTGGGCTGGCTCTCTTGGCTGAGGGGCGGGTCAGAACCTCAGGACCTGTAATTCCTGGACTCATTAGTGATCCCAGAGTTTGGGGGCCCCAGGCTGTGCTGGGCCCTGGGGATTGGGACAGGAAGCCAGGGCACAGTGGGGCCCTGTGGGCTTCCCGGAGAAGAGGGAGGACAGGAGCAGATGCAGGTGGATGCACATCACTCAGTCTCCCGCCTCCAGCCCCTCTGAGCGCTGCGTCTCCACCATCTATTCTGCTCCCTTTCACCCAGACAACTCCCCTCTTCCTCCTGGATCCCCTATTTCAGTGACCGGCCCACCACCCGGGTCCAGAGGCTGGGCGTCTGGGCATTGCCTTGGGTGAAGGGGAACGAGTGGCAGAGGGCTTGGGAATGTTGGCTGCTGTGAATAATGGGCGTTCAAGTGTCTACCTGAGTTTGATGTTCAGGCAAGTAGAGGTTTGCCCTTTTTTGGCTCTTTGATGCAGAGCAAGTTGCTTCACCTCCCCTTGGCCTCAGTTTCTTCATCTGTGAAATGGGGCAAGTCACTCCAATCTTGTTTAAGTGGTGTTGGAGACAGGACAATGACGGCGGGGACCCAGAAATGATGTTTCCCACATCAGTGTTGGGCCAGTAACACCCCCTGTCTACTAACTCTTGTGACTATCTTTTTCCTTGGCGTGTGTGTGTGTGTGTGTGTGTGTGCAGTTAAGTACATATAAAGTGTACCACCTGAACCATTGTTCAGTGTACATTCAGTGAGTGGCATTCAATATGCTCACATTTGGGGGCAGCCGTCACCACCACCCATCTCCAGACTCTTCATCTTGTGAAACCTGAAGCTAAGTCCCCATTAGACACTAAGTCCAAGTGTCTTTCCCTGCAGTCCCTGGCAACCGCCATGCTGCTGTCTGTCGCTATGATGTTAAGACTTTAAGTGTCTCACCTAAGTGGAATCCCACACCATTTATCACTTTGTGGTTGGCTCCTTTCACTTAACGCAGTGCCTTCAGGGCCCATCGTACTGCAGCACGTGTCAGAGCTTCCTTCCCTCGGAGGCTGGGTGATACTTCACTGTGTGGATGGGCCACAAGGGGTCATCCATTCATCTGCCAGTGGGCACGCGGGCTGCTTCCACCGTCTGGCTGCTGTGATTAATGGCTGGACAAGCACCTCGTGGAGTCCCTGCTTCTAATTCCCTTGGGCACATGCCGGGAAGTGGAATTGCTGGGTCACGTGGTTAGTGTCAATTCTTGCCATTTTGGTTGTTGATTTGGAAACTGGAACACATCGTTTTTCTGTTCCCTGGGAAGATCATTCCTCACTTTTGTGGTGTTCTTGACGGTTTGCAAAGCCCAGCTCTGAGTTCCTGTCCTCGGGCACAGGTAGCTGGTAAGCAGAGACCAGCCTTCAGGTTGGCCTCCCGGGGCGGGGAAGAGTCAGGATGAGGTCCGCCCACATTGGGTACCCGCCTGGGCTGAGCCCTCTCAGTTAATCCCAGCACCGTCCTGTGAAGTTGGGGACATTTTTGTCCCTTTAATAAATGTCTGCTTTAACCTACTTTCTAGACTGAGAGCTCAGCGTTAGTGAGTGTGGAACGCACCCCACGCTTCATTCTGAGTGTGTGACACCTTTTGCTTGAAATGAATCTTATACCCATTTTACAGGTGAGAACCTGAGGCACAAGAGAGGTCAAGTCACTGGCCTGAGGTCTCAGGGTTGGGAAGGGGTAGGGCTGGGGTGTGAACAAGCCGTGTGCTTGACTGAAATCACTCCTCTGACTCCCTAGAAGGGGGAGGCAGACACACATGAAAAATTAAGTGAACAAGACAATTCCAGCTCCCGCAGGGCATGGAAGGTGACAGAGTGGCTGGCGTGGTGCGGGTGGCCTTAGGTTGAGGGTTAGGAAAGGCTTCTGGAGGTGACATTGAACCGAGACCTGAATGACAGATGGAGCCAGGCCTGTGACCCGAGAAGATTAGGGATGGTCGGTCCATGCAGAGGCTACAGCATGGAAAGGCCCTGGGCTGGGTTTGGAGCCAGCCTGGGGGGTGAACGGGGAGTGAGCTCTCCTTGCAGCTGTTCATGGGCGCAGCCTTCCCAACGAGTCACAACTTTGAGCTGAACGTGGTGGCTGCTGAGGGACGCCTTGTCAACGCCAGTCCCATCTTTGTATAAAACAGTGTTGCTTCGGGTTTGGCTCCCAGATCGGGCTGACTCATGATATCTGTGGAAGTTCCCCCTGGATTTCCAGGAGTTTCCAACATCTCGCCTGTGGGTCGCGTAGGATTTCCCTCGGAAGATGCTGCACCATGTGAGACTGATGTGCTCTGTGCGCTACCGGGGACTGCTCACAGCGCTGGGGGCAGAGAAGGGCAGAGCCCTGGTCAAGGGAGGCAGTGAGGGCCACCAGCCCAGGGACAAAATGACAGTCACCTGCCCGTTAGGACGTCAGCGTCCTCTGACGCGTCAGGCCAGGCTTTCCCCTGCTGTCCTGCTGAGTCATTCAGGACTTGTACCATCACCCCTCCTTTACTGATGGGGAAACTGAGGCTCACGCATGGCCTCAGTGAAGGGTCCACGGCACCCTGCTCTGTCTGACCCACCCTGTTCTCTCACCCACGATGGGTCACTGCAGTGCGTCACGGGAGGGCCCAGCTGGGCCTGAGGGCCAGACCTCAGCTCACCGCTGCTCTTCCTATCAAAGCCCCTCTGCCCAGGCAGCCCCCTGCACGGAGCGCGGATGGACTGGGGTCCAGATGCCTTCATGGGGACCTGCTTACATCTCTTCCTTCATTAGCTTCTCACGGCCCATGGAGACGGCCCCGTCTGGCCCGTGCCTTGGAAGTCGAGTTTAAGGAGTCAGAGTGGCTCACTGGGCGTGTCTGAAAGCAGCCAACGTTACTTCTTGAAAAATATTTGGTGCCGAAGCTGGCGGACTCGTTCTTCCTTCCCCGGAGTAGCCGAGGATGGACGGACACATGACTCAAAATAGGCAACAAATGGTAGCCCAGAGGCAGTCGGACGCTGCGGGCGGGTCCGCGCCCAGTGGCTGGGTGGCCCGTCTCAGGAGAAGGCACAGCCGCCAGAGCAGATGGCCTCTCGCCTTATCGCTCCCGGCTGACATCACAGTGGGGTGGGCTGTTTGTTTTGGCCTGGGTGATGGTTTAAGGCGAATCGATTGGTGCCCGGGCCTGTGAGTTCTGCCGGTTGCTCCCAGGACCCCGGCTTGGCCCCTGGGAGCGGCTCCGGAGCCCTGGAAGCGCGGGTCTAGGTGGGCTGCTGGCCAGGGGTGCCGTGGCCGCAGGAAGGACGCCTGTGATCTGGTTTTGCCGAGACCGTCTGGCATCAGGTTCTGGGCAGTTGTGTTTGCCAATTTGATGAGGGGAGTCGGTGGGAGTATTTAGGTTATTTTCTTCGGCTGGAATTCTAGAATCCAAGCGTCCCCGAGCTGGTGGGTGCTGTGTGACTCAGCCCTCCCCCTCTGCTCCAGGTGGGGGGCTTTGTGGAAGGCCCCCAAGGGAGGGAGGGAGCAAGGGAATATTTGCATCCCACTCATCCCTCAGGCCTTGCCTGCCAAGCAGGAGGTGCCAGACCCCTTGGAGAAACTTGCCAAGAGGATCTGTCGAGCGAGTTCTCCATTTCGGCTCCTTTGACTCCTAAATCTGCAGTAAACACGGGAGCCGCCTAGCTGGTGTCTGTGCCCCAGAAACCGGCTGACCTCTCTTCCTGCATCGTCTCCTGTAATCCGTAACCGCCCTTCACGGGAGGAATTACTGCTTCTTCATGTTATAGCTGAAGAGCCAGGCCCAGAGAGGGCTTAAGAGATTTGCTCAGTGTCACTCAACGAGGAGACAGATGATGCAATCGGACCCCGTCTCCATGTCCGGAGCCAAAGTCCATGGGTTCATGGGGGGCGGGGCGGCAGCGTGGAGAACAGCATCCTTCACTCTCCCGGTGCCGTGGCTGCTTCTAATTCCTTCCACCTGGATCTCTCCGTGTTCTGATGGTCTGATTTGATTTGGTTTCCATGGAATCTGTTTGCATCTCACCAGGGCCCTGCTGGCAGGGAGCGGCGTTCCTGCGGTGGAGGGAGCGAGCGGAGGGGCTGGGGCAGGAGGGCGGTGGGCAGTGTCCGCGGAGGTCTGGCGCCTCTCTGTGCGGCCCTGTCTGGCGGAACTGGGCCAGGGGGACACCTGATCCCTGTTGGGGGCCGGGTGGGGTGGGGAGGCTGGTGTCCTTCCCTTCACTGGGAAGCAGATCCACTCCCAGGGAAAAGGGCAACGGTGACCTTTTCCTAATTCCTCGCTTTCCACACAGTCGCTGCATGTTTCCCCGCCCCCCTGGCTGAAGCGGGGCAGGAGTCAGAGGCCTGGGCATTCTCAATCACCCTTTCTTGGCCCCCCCTCCGCCCCCTCCTCACTAGCCCCACTTCCTAGGAAGTCGCTGGGACTTAGAACAAACCCCGTGGCAGATGGGGGTGGCGCTCATCTTGGTCAAGGTGAAACGACCCGCATCTCCTCTGCCCTGCTCCGTGGTTGTCCTGTGTCCTGTGTCCGGCACACCTGTGGCACGTTCTGCGTTGTGGGCCAGAGGCAGGTTTGGGGAGCAGCGGAGGTGAGGCCTCTATCCTGTGTGCCCGTGTACCCCAGGGCGTGCCCGGGGCTAGCAGCTTCACAGGACGCTGGGGAGACACAGAGCCATGCACAGCCCCATCGGGGGGACCTGCCTCAGTGCGTCCCTCTCTAGGGAGTCACAGTGCATGGGACTCATTAAAGGTCCCCTGTCTTCCCGGGCACCCGGCACAGTGTGGGAAGCAGATGTCAGAGGCCCAGGCTCTGCCCAGCCAGCGTGGCTCAGCGATTGAGCGTTGACCTATGAACGAGGAGGTCACGGCTCAATTCCTGGTCAGGGCACATGCTCGGGTTGAGGGCTCGATCCCCTGGGTGTGGTGCGTAGGAGGCAGCCGATCAATGACTCTCTCACCAATGATGTTTCTATCTCTCTCTCTCCCTCTCCCTTCCTCTCTGAAATCAATAAAAATACATATTTTTTAAAGGCACAGGCTCTGGAGTTGGGCGGTCTCGGGTTCAGACCCTGCTGCACCGTCCAGCTGTGTGACCTGGGGAAAGTTGCTTACCCTCTCTGGACTTCCATCTCCTGGGGACAGTCAATACCTTGAGCACCTGCTGTGAGCAGGAGGCTGTGCCAGGCCCGAGGGGAAACGGGGGGATGGGGGCATGGGGGAAGGTTGGGTGTGTGTAACTGAGCAGGCAGAGGCAGCCCAGCCTCTCTGAGAGAGTCGCTTCGGGCTCCACAGCTGTATAAGTTCAAGGCCTCCCAAGTGATGAGTCAACATCTGTTACTCACTCCCACCCCTGGGGGCTGCCAGGGACAGACATCCTTGATGCCAACCTGGGCTGGGCATCCCATACCCTCCACCAAGATGGTGCCCAGGCCACCACGTACTGCGAATGCCCTTCCTGCCGGGCCCCAAGCTCACCTCCTCTGCTCAGGAACCTGGGGGTAGGAGGAGGCGTAGCTCACTGTCCTGTTACAGGTGCTGACCCGGGCTCAGGGCTGTGGGAGGGTGGCACTGGGTTTGAACCCTGGTGTCCCAGGCTGGTGGGGGCCTGCCTGGCCAGGCCTATTGTTAGACGGCACCCTGGGGTCAGCTGGGGAGACAATGGAGAGTGTGGCCCCCACAATGGACCATTGTTCCTGCAGCAGCTTCAGGGCCGGCTGGGCGGGCAGATGATCCCGGCCCCCACTGCGGCTGGGCCTTTGCTCCAGGGTCTGGGTTTTTCCAGTGTTTCCACAGCAGGAGCGCAGGGCTGGGCACAGAGGGGGGCCAGGGCATCGGACGGGGGCCAGGGCGTCGGCAGGCTCCGAGCTCAGTGGCCCAGGAGCACCCCTGGGCTGGGGAGCTGGGATTCCCCATGCTGTGCCCTGTTTACCCCCATCAACATCAGGTCATAGGCATGCAGGCTTCCCCTGCCACACTGTGAGGCTCTCCTATGGCCCACTTCCCACAGGCAAGGGCCGGGGGAGAGGTGCCCCCTTTACCAGCGTCAGGCCTGCCTACCTTGGGGCCTCACAGGGCGGGCCAGGGAGCCCATCACTCTGCCTGGGACTTGAAGAAAGTGGGTTCTTGTTAAAAACAGATGATGCCCTTTCCTGCTCTGGAGGGGGAACCTAGGAATTGGGGTTAATTCATTCTTTCCTTCCTCCCTCCCTCCCTCCTTCCCTCCATTCCTCCCTTCCTCCCTCCCTCCCCCATGTCGGTCAGATGGACAACCATGGCTTCCACAGGATGGGAGCCTACCTGGTCCCCTCAGCCCAGCCCCGGGCCCCTCGCGGGTTAAACCTCTTGCTCTCCATGGGCTATTGCCCTTCCCCCTCCTTCCCTGACCCTTGGGCAGGGCTCTCTGGGCCTCGCTTTGCCGCCTGAAGCCCAGTGCTCTCCTGACCAAGGGCAAGGCCCTGGGCGCGTCCTCAGAAGCCGTGTTCTAGGCCGGGACGCTGGTGTCCCGTCCGGTTTAAGCCACGCCGACCTGCACGCCCCGCGTGACAGCCCCTCCGCCTGCTCTTTCCCCAGGAGCAGGACATCGAGACTCTGCATGGCTCCATCCACGTCACGCTGTGCGGGACCCCCAAGGGAAGCCGGCCCGTCATCCTCACGTACCACGACATCGGCATGAACCGTATGTTCCGGGCCCCGGGCTGCCAGGAGGCCTGCTCCCGCCCAGGTGGAGGCGGGGGGCTAGGAAGGGCCAGTGGCAGGGAGCCCAGCTACCTCCCTCTTGCTGGGCCTTCCCAGAGCTATTCTGGGAAGAACTCTTGCCACAGACTAGAAGATTCTAGAATGCAGTGCCCAGAGGCCCAGAGTTGTCTGTGTGCCAGGTGCTGCTGGGAACTCAGGGAGCCCCCCACCGTCCGTCTGTGTGACAGTGACCTCTTTTAATGAGGGAATACAATGGTTTCCAGTGTTTGAAGAGTTGCGCAACCATCATCACAATCCATTTATGCACAGTATTTACTCCCCCCAAAAAATCCTGTTGTCTTACCTTTCCCCCCAGTTTCCACCACCCCCAGCCCCTGGCCACCACTGTCCACTTCCTGTCTGGAAGCATCTGCCCGTCCTGTCATTGTAGAGCAATGGAGTCACACAACACGTGGTCTTCCGTGACCGGCTCCTTGCACGCTGTTCTCACGGCTCATCCACACGTAGCACATGCCAGGACGGCGTGTCTTTTGCCGAGTGACTTCTATTGTGCGGAGAGGCCACGTTTGGTGCCCACTCTTCAGTCAGTGGACGTTGTTGCTTCCTCGTCTTGGCCCGTGTGAATGTTTAGACTGAATTTCCAAGGTGTTACCCATCTGGGTTCCCCATGTTCCACAGACGGGCATGGCAGTGACACAGAGTAGAGCGACTTTGTGTTAACGTGACACAGATGGCGGTGAGACGTCCTGAGATGGTTCGGAAGGCACGTGCAGGCCGCCCTGGCCCAGTCATCTCTGTAAACTTGCACGTGGCAAGCTGAACACTTGGTCGATTTTTGATTGACAGATGGCCTAATGTACCCCCCCTCAGTTTATTCATACCCTTGAGGCTGGAGCTGATGGCAGTCCCTGAAAACCATTTATCTTCTCCACCCTCACATCTCTTACCTCTTTTCTTCCTGCGTGTCCCCCGGGGCCATTATGCGTCAGCAGCTTGCTAGGTACTTTGATAGAGGTCACCTCCGTTCACCGCACCCCGGTGTGGGGATGGAACTGCATGTGGTGTGATGCACCCCGTGTTAGAGAGGCTCAGGGGTAGAGTAAGCCAACGGCTGTAGCAAAAGACCCGGAACCTCTGCTGCTTCATCCCATATACGATATTCCTCCCTCATTTAACAAGCAGTGGGCGTTCGCTGTGGCCCCTTCCACGTGGTGATTCGGGGGGCCCAGGCTCCTTCCAGCTGCGGCTCTGCATCTGGCAGGTAGATGACCGGAGAGAGAGAAACCCAGAGGATTGGGGAGCAGGTGTCCAGGGAAGCAGCAAGCATCACAGGCTATTGGCCAGAACCCGATCACGTGACCGCCTCTAATTATAAGGGAGGCTGGGAAATGTAGTCCAGCTGTATGCCCAGAAGAAAAGCTGGCCATCTTTGCTTCAGACTCTCAACAGTTAGGAGACTCATCCAGGGTCTATAGGAAGTGGGAGGTCTGTGCTTTATCGCCTATGCTCCTCCTCTGTGTTTGAAAAGTTCCTGTGTCCCCGATGTGAGCGTTTAGGGAACCCAGGGAGAAAGAGAAGGCCAGTGGAGTAACGCCCCCTCCTGCTGGGGCCATGATGGCCATGAGTGACTGGGAAGAAGCAGGAGGCCCCTTCTGGGGTTAACTGGAAGCTCATCCACCAGGGGGTACAGTACGGTTTATGGACCGTCTCCACCTCCCCGCGCACTCCCTTGCCGTGGCCTGTTCTTGCCTTTTGTCGCCACAGGAAAGTGGGACAGGGGAACAAAAGATGGGCGTCCTTGCTGTGAGTCCGTTTTCTTCTGCTGAATAGGAGCGAAACAAGCAAACATGCACGCGCTTGGCAGGGAGCAAGCCAGCTCATTCCATCCTCACTCACCCCTCTCCCGTCTCCCCGCCCCCCCGCCCCAAGTCTCCCCGCCCCCCCGCCCCATGCAGACAAAACCTGCTACAACCCCCTCTTCAACTCTGAGGACATGCAGGAGATCACCCAGCACTTCGCTGTCTGCCACGTGGACGCCCCTGGCCAGCAGGACAGCGCGGCTTCCTTCCCCGTGGGGTGAGCGGGGAGCCTGGTCCCCAGGACGGGGAGGAAAGCCTTGCAGGGTGGGAGCAGGTGGTGGGGGAGGCGCTGGACTGGCTCTTCATTTTTTTATTGCGGTAACATATACTCTTCCGTGGAGCCAAGTCTCTGATACAAGCCCTCAGCCTCAGTGACAGTTATAATCTTTTTATGGGGGAGAGCATAGCAACCCCATCGAGTAGTCTCAGGGATTAAACGAGCTTACAAAGCTCACCCAATGCTTGGGGTGGGGCCTGGCACACCGGAAGCAGTTGTAAAGGCTTACTTTACAAAGAGGAAGGTGGAGAGCCAGGGATGGAGACCTTCTTGCTCACCAGAAAAGGCTGTGTACCCTGAGGGGTGTTCCCAGTGAGGGCCACGGTGGGGGGGCGAGGGGGGCGCTGTGGGGCATTGGCACACCTGGGCCAGGTGGCCCCATGGTCCCTCCCCTTCCAGCCTGTTCCTGGTGACATTGTTAATTTCCTCGGGGTCCGGGCTCTCGCTAACTCCTCTGTGTGGCTTCTCCCAAGGTACATGTACCCATCCATGGACCAGCTGGCCGAGATGCTGCCGGGGGTCCTCCACCAGTTTGGGTAAGAGTGAGGGATCCGCTCCCCCAAACACACACACTTCCCCCACCCCAGCCTGCAAGGAGAGCGGCTTCCCGCATCTGCTTTTCCTTTAGCCTCCATCTGGCCTGACCCCGACATAGGCTGCAGCTTAAACATATTTTTATTGACGTTAGAGAGGAAGGGAGAGGAAGAGAGAGATAGAAACACCAATGATGAGAGGGAATCATGGGCTGCCTCCTGCACGCCCCACACTGGGGATCGACCCACAACCTGGGCATGTGCCCCGACTGGGAATCGAACCATGACCTCCTGTTCATAGGTTGATGCTCAACCACTGAGCCACATCAGCCGGGCCAGGCTGCAGTTTAAAGCTCAGGGGAGAAATGCATTTGGCTCACTGTCCTCACTGATTTCCGCTTCCTCTTTATTCCCACTGCTTCCTGCGAGTGGGGCTTTTCTCCTTGAGTGATGACATCACCCGATGCCAGGCACCCCCTATCCTTTCCTGCTTTCTCTTCTTTCATTGCTTTCTCTTTCCCATGGAACGTTCTGGAACATTCTGGGACGTTCGGGGTTGCCTGAGCCCTCAGCTCCCCTCTCTCCAGGCCCTTCTTCCCCCAATGCTCATTTCCTTCTTACGTGAGCCTTTGGTGTGGTGATGACACCTCAGACTGCTTGCCCGGTTTATTTTCATGCCAAGTTTTTGAATCCAAAATAAAGCTTAGGAGCGGGAAGAAGCGGGAAGGTCTTCCCATAAATGCCGGGCAGTCAGGAGAGAAGGGAGGAAGTGGGACGAGTCCCTCAAGGTCACGGCCTTCTGTGAGTCCATAAGGCGTGAATCACTTCAGGTCTGGAGGGCCCAGCAGGGCAGCGGCCCCCACATTGTCTCGCCTGCTGACCTTCCTCAGTGGCAGCCCGGACAGACCCTGGGGGAGACGAGGTTCCCAGGGGACAGGGCGTGGGGGAGGGCGTGAGGGTGCTCAGGGCTCCTGGCGCCCACATCTTCCGTGACATCAGCTTTTAATTTCTGCTTCCAGGGTGAAGAGTGTCATTGGCATGGGGACCGGGGCTGGCGCCTACATCCTCACTCGATTTGCTGTGAGTTCTTGGGCGTTTCTAAAAAATTATGTTTTCAGTAAAATTAATTCCAGGTGAAGGAGGAAAATTGGACAAGCATCAAAAATCCCCAGAGGGAAAAAGAATGACCCATCATTCCATTTCCCAAGGGAGAACCATAGTTGTGTGGTTTAGAGTTGTGCATGCATGTGTGGTGTGCATGCATGTGTGCATGCATGTGTGTGCGGTGTGCATGCATGTGTGTGCACATGTGTGTGCATGTGTGTGTGAGCTTTTCTTTTTCCTGCACTGACCTGCCATCCTAGTCGTATTCTCCCATCATCAGCTTTGCTCACTTAGCAGCCGGCTGTGGCAGGTCCCCTGTGCGCCTCCTTGGGGGCTGGAGACTCTGAGAGCAGCACGTGCTCTGGGGCCACGCCAGCCCTCTCCCAGGCCTGCTCCCTCTTTGCTTTGACGTGTGAAGTTCACGCTGCCTCAGGTTGCCGGGCTGTCTCTCACCTCGTGTCTGAATTGCAGCTGAACAACCCCGAGATGGTGGAGGGCCTGGTGCTCATCAACGTGAACCCCTGTGCCGAGGGCTGGATGGACTGGGCGGCCTCCAAGGTGAGCCTGGGCGGGGCCGGTGGGGTCCTGAAACGCAGGGGCTGGGAGCCCTCCCCCCTCCCCTGAGGACTGTGGGACTCGGACCCCGCCTGGTGGCACCCTTTCCTGTGACTCCCCACCCCCAGAAAGAGAGCAGCTTCCTCTGCCTTGCTTAGAACAGTGGGTGACCCCAGACATCTGCCATCGGGCACCCACAGGACAGTGCGGGCCAAGCCTGCAGGGTCAGCGTTCCCGGGCCGGCTCGGACCAGCACCGTCCGGGTAGGAGTCTTTGCCGGGGACGGAGCGTCGGCTGGGCTGTTCTCAAGATGCTGAGAATAGAAAGATGAGCAAGAACAACGCCTCTCAGCCCAGGACCCTCCTATTCCTAATGAAAAAGATGTGCACTTGGTTCTGATGCCACTCAGTTTGACGACAGTAATACTTAGCTAGCATGTAGCAGGGGTGGGGAACCTCTGAAATCGGGGCCTTGCCAAAGGCATCAGGTGTGAGTTAATTAAATGTTGGACCCTGTATCGCAGGCTAGTTTTTAAGTTAGTAATTTTGTGTGGCCTGTGAATGACGCTATGCATATCCCAATGGCCCTTGGCAGGGAAAGGGCCCCACCCCTGTATGGTTACCAGGTGCTAGTCCTGCTCCCTGTTGCCTGTTAGTCCTTGGACCCACCCCACCCTCGGAAAGGCCATTCCTGGTGGCGGCTCTTGCCGTGGGCCAGGCTAGTGGTGTGAATGCCTATAGACCAGTGATGGCGAACGCTATGTGTGCCTGGCCTGTTGAATCCTGCTGGGACCTTCAGGAGGTGGGGCTGTCATGCCGTTCACAGAGGGGGAAACTGAGGCTCCCCGGGGGTAAGGAGGCTGTGCAGAAAGAGAACTGGCTGACTGGAGAGCCCTGGGCCTCCCCACCTCCTCCCCAGGCTGTGCTCACAGCTCCCAGGCAGCAGGTGTCCAAGGCCCACCCCCACCCCAGTGCCGCCGGGTTGGGCATAGAAGGGGCTGGGCATGGGGGGCCCTCATTGTCTCGGGAAGCTCTGCTCTGGCTGGTGGCCTAGGGTTCCTTGTTTATTTAAAAATGATGATTGTTTTTTTCATAAAAGCCCCTGTATTTGCCAAGGAGATGGGGACATAATTGAAGCAGGACAGAGCCTTTTAACCAGGGGTGATCCTGGCGTCTCATTTTGACAGTGTATTTTTGCCAATGTTGGGGTGGCCGGCGGGGACAGGAAGATGAAAGGGGTCGTGCGCCTCCCCCTCCTCCCACCGCGTCCTGGCCAGCCAGCCTCATACTGCATTTCTCCCTGGAGCACTGGGCCAGCAGGCGGGAGCCCTTCCCTCCGGCCTGCATGACATTTGGGAGCGGAACACACTCCCTGTTTTTTATTTTATTTTCCAGCAAAGGAAGTGACATTCTCCTCAGCCAGTTTGGCTCCTGGGTAACTGCTCTGAGCCAGACGTGGAGGGCTGGGGACAGCAGCCATTGGCTGCGTGCAGCCTGAGGAATGTTTGTGGGGTTTTAATATCTGCACCATATCCTTCCTTTTCGACCCCAGCCCTGGAGAAAAAAGACCTACATCAGAGGTCTACTGTATGTCAGGCACTGGGGTCAGATCCTGTGACATGTGCGGCCGCTCCCACAATCCTCATCGTGGCACTTTGAAGTTCCTGGCAGCCCCAGCTACCGATCGGCAGTCTGAGGTCCAGAGGCTTTGCAGCTGCCCTGGGCCACACAGTGGGGCCCTGGTAGTCAGCACGCACTTATGGAGCTGCTGCTGTCCGTCTAGCACTTAGGGAGCCCCTGTGATATGCCTAGCATTTATGGATCTCCTGCTGTGTGCCTAGCACTTACGGAGCTTCCACTGTATATCTAGCATTTATGGATCTCCTACTGTCTTCCTAGCATTTATGGAGCTTCCACTGTATATCTAGCATTTATGGATCTCCTGCTGTGTGCCTAGCATTTATGGATCTCCTGCTGTATGCATAATATTTATGGAGTTCCCACTGTATATCTAGCATTTGTGGATCTCCTGCTGTATGCATAGCATTTATGGAGCTCCTTCTGTGTGCCTAGATTTTATGGATCTCCTGCTGTATGCCTGACATTTATGGAGCTCCCACTGTATATCAAGCCTTTATGGAGCTCCTCCTGTGTACCTAGCCTAGCACTGTTGTTTGAGAGATAGAAAGAAGGTCATTGATTTCTTTAGTAACCGCAGTATATTCGGAGAGAGCACGTGGCTTAGGGACAGTGTGGAGGATGAGCTCGGCAGATCCGAGGTGTGGACTCGGGGAGCCTGTGTTGAGAGCAAATGCACGGGGTTCTTCCTTCTGACGACCGGTGCGCTCTGGCGCAGGGAAAGCTGGGAGCAGGCAGGTCCGTTCAGCACAGCTGTGCGTGCACCTTCTGCGCCGGGGCTCCGAGAAGAGCGATGGGTGGAGAGCCAGGCCCTGCCTTCTGGGGGCTGCAGGTCTGGAAGGTAACCAGAGGCTGTGACCAGTTCCCGTCCCCGGGGCATCCTCAGACGGAGTGCTGGAGCCCCAAGGGCACGGGGCTGGGCTGGCCTGTCTCGCCCCTGCAATGCCTTCCTCCTAATCCCCCTGTTGTCCTCCCCAGATCTCCGGATGGACCCAGGCCCTTCCGGACATGGTGGTGTCCCACCTCTTTGGGAAGGTGAGTCGGGGGCCTGGGCTCGGTCAGTTCTCCAGGTTCTTTGGGCTGATCTTTTCTTTGATCAGCCAGTTGGCTTCTTTGTCGCTTAAATGCTCGAGGGCAGTTTTGACAACAGCTCGGCTTGACATCGGCCCCCTTCCTCCCACTTGAGCTCGGGCCGCCTCTGATCGCATCAGGCCGTTCGGGGAGACCTACCCCGTCTGCCGTTGCCCAAATGAGAACCAGAGGCGGCTCCGAATGCGTTTGTCCAGCGTCACATTCAGAAAGGGACCCGGGAGCGGGGAGGCCGAGGCCTGCCTCTGCGAGGCCCCGCTGGCCCCGCGGAATCAAGCGTGTCCTTTCCGCACCTTCCCCCTGCGTGAGCTGCTTCTCTTTTGCAAGCGTGAAAATCATCACCATTAAAAACAGCCCTTGGGGATAGTTGCATTGATGGGTCCGTTTCCAAAGGCCTTTCCGAAGTGAACAGCCCCCCCCCCCTCAGATCCACCACCTGGAGGCGTGGGTCACATTAATCCCCCCTTTTCGGAGAGCACCGAGGCCCAGAGGCTAGGGCAGCGATGCAGTGTGAGGAAGGGAGCCGTTCTCTCCTCCCTGCATGGTTCGCTGGGCTGATCTACTCACCAGATAGACATGAGACGCTTTAGCGAGAGAAAATGACCAGGTGTAACTGCAGACCACGGTACGGGAGAGTCAGAGACGGAGGGGAGATGGGGTGCGTTTGACCTGAGCTCAGGCTGAGGCGGTGCACGTCGGGGCTCCGGAGGGACAGCACGTGTTGGGCTGTTAGTCCTTGGACCCACCACACCCTCGGAAAGGCCATTCCTGGTGGCGGCTCTTGCCGTGGGCCAGGCTAGTGGTGTGAATGCCTATAGACCAGTGATGGCGAACCCATGACACGCGAACTCATTTTTCTGGTTGATTTTTCTTTGTTAAATGACATTTAAATATAAAAAACAAATATCAAAAATATCA